CTGAGTCCCCGTTTCCTCATCCGTGATGAAGTGTGGTTGACAAGATGCTCTTTAAGGTCCATTATAATTCTACAACTCTGTCTTTTCCTCCTAATCATCCCCAGATTTCTGCTGTCACTGAGAAAATGGTCCAAGATTGAAGCACGGGCCCAAAAGAAAAGTAACAATTTATTGCCAAACACATCCAAGGTAGACATATACTAATATGTTTTGCTCTTCATTAATTTAGTGTCCTGGATTACGTAAAATCTGAAGTTCCCTACTACAGTTGTTTTACCATCCTTTTTAATTTGGGACCACATAATGCTGGAATGCTAAGGAAGAAATGACTTCTAAAAACAGGAGCACATATTTAGGATATTAAATCTGAGGCCCTTGAAAATCAAAGCCTGACTGATAGAAATTTTTAGGTCTGATGCCTAAATTATAATTAACCTTTCTTCTTCTTTTAATAAACAGTATCACCTTACCCTAAAGAACAGGTCAAGTTGCAGGTACCTCAAGTAAGTACCACTCCAAAGGCAGAGACAGAATCCCTTTGCAAATATGCTGGCATGATGTGTGTATGTTTTTGCCAAAGAATGACCAGTGAAATAATCATTTAATTACAAACACCAAAAGGGTATGCTGCTGCAAAAATATGGTTCATACTCCTTTGAACCTGCCTATTCTGTCCAGAGTTGAAGTCTTCTTTTACTTACTGTTACTGGTACAGATTATAATTGCTTTAAATAGATATGATAAACTTCACTCTAAATTGGCACCCCCAATGAGTAGATTGGAATTCTAGCCCTACGTCTTTAAGCAATCTGCCAGATGTATGTCCCATTGCACCATGGGGTCCCCAGAATCCCCAAGGGAAAGAGGGTACCTGGCAGAGTAGCATTGCATACCATTACCCAGGCTTTGATTTCAGGCATAGTATAATAATATTAGTTTTTAAGCCAATCAGAAAGGAAGGAGATCCAAGGCACACAGTGGATGGCCATCCCTTTGGGATGCTGGCCTACTAGGTAAACTGACTATCAGTTGAACATTGTCATTGACAATAATGACCACAGAAGTGATGTCTCACCTGTAATGTGATGGCGGCTTTCTTGGTCATGGACTGATAGACACCATTAAATTCCACATTGTGGTCAAGATCATACACCGGGCACTGTAGCATGCATGAGGGATAAAAAGGAAAGCATCCCTAATGTCATATAATGTCATACCACACCTAGGTCCTGTCAGGGCCTTTCACCTGGATCACAGAGCAGGGGGTCCTTACTAAGACAGAAACCATGAAAATTTTCCCCCCTAATAGTCATTAAATAGTGGTCCTAAAACTTGGTGCCTTCTCCTCTAAAACCAGTCACTTTATATTGAAGAGAATTATAAACCGATTGTCTTAAAAGAGTATAACATTTTCCCCATTTTTTGTTAACGCCTCATGGGACAGAAAGGACCCAATGTTACAATAAAAATTTAAAAACAAATGGTAGGTTTCCATTTTATTTTTCTTATGGAACCCGCAAGTTGGTCTTGTTTGTTTTTCTCCCTCCCTCCCTCTTTCCTTCTCTTCTTTGTTGATTTTGGTGAGAAGTCAACTATTCTTTATGTCTCTAAATCAATGTCTGCAAACATGGACTGCCCACTTTGTGTTCACAGATACTGTTCTTACTATTTGGCAGTTTTGGGGGAGATACACAGTAAGAGGGCAACATGGTTCCCACCCCTTTCTTTCATTTGCTCTGGGATAATGTTAATATAATGCTCCATATTCCATATTAGAAGGTTGACAGGTTATCAGCACTCACCATGATATTCTGGACTGAGACAACAGAACATGGATAAGCCATTTCAGACACCACTTTAATGATAACTGAGTCCACATCTTTGGGAAACTTGTACAGAAAATACTGAGAATAAGAAAAAGAAAGACATTTATTAATATTTTCACATGAATAGGATTGTTTCCTCTACTATTAGATGCAAAATTCATATGTAAATCTCAGTGAATCTCCATTAATTAATTCAGTCAGCCATTTACCTCAGACACATTGCATAACTAACTGCTCTGTGCAGGGCTCTGTGCCAGATGTTAGGAATACAGCAATGAATAAGACAAACTAGCCGTTGTATTCAATGTTGCCATTTCATTTTTCCATGGTATGACCATTTCTCTCTCAACCAAACTTTGACACACTTCAGTCCATTTCCTACTTAAGAAACACCACCCCCACCCCTTTGAATTAGAGATATGCAGGATATAACATGAGACAAAATTTACTTCTGTGTGTTCATTGTGAAATATGAAGCTCCGTGTTGAAAAGCAGATAAGCCTGTTCTTCAAGAATTTTAACTGCCTTCTCATAGATGAGAATTGAGAATTAGCACTTGACCAATCCCTCCTCTGGATCTTTTGCTAAAGAGTCTATTTGCTGGCTGGAAAGTACTGAGAAGATATTTAGATTCAAAGATCAAGCCCTACATATAGTCCCTTGAAATATGTTCATAATTTTGGGCAAGCTGAAGTATCTTTTAAAGTATTTCTCAAATATCACCAGAATCAGGAAACATTTCTATTTTTTTCTTTTTATTTTGAACTCTGATCCTGTTCCTTCTAAGGAAACCTTTCCAATTGAAAGAGGTTATACTGTTTACCTACTTAGATTATGAATCCACTGGAAAAATGTATGAACACTAAATTGTAAAAATGTTGCTAATGATGAAGAAAGGGGCATTCTGCCCAGTAGTTACAAATACAGTAACTAGTTGAGAAGCTGTGTTAAGCTTATGATAAATATTTTGAAGAAACCAACCCAAACAAGCTTCATATCCTAAGACTCTAATAAACTTATCACTTTAAAAGAGAGGCAAAATATGTTACAACTTAATTTTGTTTTCCAACATCCTCTTTACTAACACTATTTCAAGAACTAGGGCATTAAAAATAGAATGTTTTTCAATAATCCAAAGCTTTCTAAATGGGGAAAAAATCATCTCGAGATTAAGGAATGTCATTAATGATGCTATTTGTAAATCTACTCATACTGCATAACAGATGGCAATACCCCCAAGAGCCCACTTCACTTTGGA